ATCCATGGAGTTTTTTTGACATTTTACTATCTCTGGACCCAAAAGCACATGACACTGGATTTATAGGTCTTTTCTATTCATATATAATATTAGACTATCCTCAAACATACTTAATATAAAAAATTTACAGAAACAATGCTGTCTTGTTCCAAATGAACTCAGGTATACCCGAGGTCATGGACAGCGATCTACATGCCTCTGGACAACGTGGGAATGTGGAACATAAGGTCAGAGAATTGGGCAAGGCAGTACCTGGGACAGCAATTCTACCTTAGGGTATATACACCTTCCAAGTCTCAGAGAGACGAATATCCAGTCCCAAGGAATGCTCTTCTTTGTGGCAGAGCAAGGGGTCGTCACACAAGGCCTTTCTGATGAGGACGAGAAAAGTTAAGCTTGTGCTGTTGAGTTGAGAATCTGATTGCAAATATTCTAAGAATTTTCTCAAATGTTGTCTTAATTTATGTAAGTAGACACGTTCATTTCTTGCTTGTCACGAGAGGGTGACAATGACGTTATTGATCTCGATTTATGTTAACATGCGGGAAATTTAATTCTAGAGTTCATCCTCAGCTTTGAGTAATTAACTTCATTGTCTTTTACTTCTGTTTGTTTTGTTGGTCAATGATGAAATGGGAATTTGAATTTCTAGGCAATAATTTTATGATTTTATCAAGCTTCAGGCACTGGTGAGGGTTATAAGCTGGGCAGGTTCTTTCAAGATCTTCTTGTTTAATGCGATTATGCAACACCTAGAATCTTGATGGTGGAAAGTGTAATTTTTTTTTTTTACAAGTGGAAAATGTAAACTTTTGAAATTGATATTTGTAGATTTTTTTAATACGATCATGTTCAAGTGTTGTGAAGCTCAATTTGAATTAGTTATCTTAAAGTGACTTTTGCTATATACAAGATCCCAAATTTGACCGTTCTTATTGAGAGTCAAGTTTCTTCTTTTCAGCTTATTCATCATAGTAAATGTTACTCGTATTGTAGAATTCTTAAAACATATTGTGATTTTGTTGGGATAAGTGCAATTCCCTTATGATAATTTGAGCATCATCCAAATAAAAAATAATATACTCTTTCTAGTTTTTATTATAATATAGTTATAGGGTTAAAAGGCAAATTTACATATAAATTAGTCAGTCAAGGGCACTCAGTATTATAAAGTAAAGAAGGGAGTATAAATATCCCTAATGTTACATGAGTGAGTTCAGAAATAATTAAACTGTTAACTTTGCCTTAATAGCATTAGTTTTTGGTATTAAATACTAACTGCGTATGTCACGTGTTAGTCTTTGATAACGTGAACTAAAAAGGGATATAAATACCTACAAAGTGATCAGCTAGGGGCATTTAGTAGTCTAAAGTGAAAATGATAAAAATATTCATAACGTTAGTAGCGTTGCTCCAAAAGTGAACAACTCAGCAAATTCCTTAAGCATTAACCGTTTAGTTGACACCTAACTAAAAGTTGATCATATTTTTGCTAATGTAAACAAAAAAATATTTTTAGGTGAATTTCTGAGGTTGATCCATCATCGTATAAGTACTCATGATGTTACTTTAGTAGATGCAATAGTAACTAATTTGTCAAAACTTGAGATTTAATATAGTGAGATAGGTTATACACAATCGAAGATTGAGATTAAGCACACCTCGTACGCCACCCTACCTTAAGAACAATGTCACAATCTTAAGCAATTTCATTCATGATAGGTTCAAAATTTTTAAATGGTTTTTGTCTCTATTGTAAAAAAGTGAGCGATTTAATTTAATATTCGATCAAAATGATATTTTCTCACATAATATTTATATGATAATTGATTAACCTCCATAGAATTTCACTTGAAAATATTTTTTTCATGTCAGCAAAAAAATAGTCAACTTTTGTTGAGATATCAGCTAAACGGTCAACATTTAAGAAATTTTATGAATTAATTACTTTCACCAATTCTTGTAACGTTATGGATATTTTTGCTCTTTTCACTTTAAACTACTAGATGTCCCTTATTGATCACTTCGTGAATATTTTTACCCCTTTTTAATTTATATCAGCAAAGACTGACATGTGGTATGCACAATTAACATTTAACGTAAGAAACTAACGCTGTTAGGGCAAAGTTAACGATTACCTCTGCACCCACTCATATAACGATATAAGCATTTATGCCTCTTTCCTCACTTTATGATATTGGGTGCCTCTGATCAACTATTTTATGCACAGATTTAACCTTTAACCTTACAGTTATATCACTAGAATGAAGAAGAGATAATTAAGTTGTTAATTTTGTTTGAAAATATAATTAATTTTTTATTTTACTTGTATTTAAATGCAAATTTTTAAATTTGCACTCCATTTTCTCTTTCATAATTAATGAGTTTAAATAGAAGTAATATTAGAAAAATTTAATTAACATTTCATTAATGACTTATAACAAGGACTATCTATAATTTTTGAGTGTCTTAATTAATAAGGACTAGAGTACTCCTCATACTAATGTTTGATAAAATAACAGCAATGCTGCATTTGACAAATGGTATTTGGCTTGCCAAGTTTCACTTTACTCGTTACAAGATTGGTTTCAAATCCTACGGACCTGCCGCTGTCAATACAAATTATTCAGGAGAAAATTGTAAAATCATGTTGAATCACTCTCAACAATTCCTTTAAGCCCAATCCCTCCAAGCCAGTTTTAATCAACGAAGCACATTCACAGACCTGCGCAAAATCCTCATATTTGCTAAGCTTTTATGACAAATATACATATAGACACTGTCCAAAGGCCAACGCATAAGAATCCATTAAAGTCGTCTAGTGCAGCGTTCTTTGAAGTCTGAAGATCAGAAGGGTGACACGGGCAACACACACACACACACCCACACAGAGTACTTTCCGAATGGAGTCAAGAAATTCACACACACACACACGCACACAACATGAGCAGCGAAGACACTGTAGGGTTTCTGGAATCCTACGTAACACGACCCATGAGTGGGAATATTCTGAAATACTTTGAAACCGCCTGATCTCCGCCATGCATGTACGTCAGTCAGGTCTGGTTTTTTCAGCAAACTTGGCTTTGTTCCCAGAAACTTCCAAGCAAGGCCTGCTTTGCTTATTTATTCGCTTCCCTCACCAATGGCATCTTTCTCCATACCCTGCAAGCGTGTAAGCATGCCAGGAATTTCCGACATGCCAACTTTGTCTACGTGGCAACCAACCAGCAATATAAGTTATGTATTACGACCGTCGTCTCCGCAGCCCCGGATTACCGGAGCGTTTCATGAATCAATACAAGTTCAAATTTGATATTCTGGCCTTGCAAGTCTGGTTGCGCCATATATACTGGCATGCTAGTGTGTTGCTATGCTTCCTTGCATTAGGGATATTATTTTTGTCATATCTTTAAGTTTCAGCGGACTTATGTAGATATGGAAAGCCCTATGATACATAAAGTTGAGTTTAATAAATAATATATAATAAAATGAAAGGATTTATATACTCATGACATCCACTTTGCATATTTGTTCTCTTCCATATTTGGGACTTTGTGCCCCATTATTTGGTTTTGCTATCTTCATTCTTAAAGTATATTTTGACAATCTTCCGTTCAAGCGATAGAAGAGGGGATTTAGGTTTAGTGAGTAACTTAATTCCATCCATTCAATAAGTGCCTTAGTTACGGCTGTTGTATTTCATTAATACTTAAAAAATTATTAAGATACATTTCTCTTAAAATATTCAAACAATTTTCATGATTAAAACACTACTTTCATACATTGTTCTCTTCAAAAATTTGATATTTGATACTTTTTGATTATTATATATGATTGATAAAATCTCTGACAATCATTTGATTTAATCGAACGATTGTTAATATGCAACATAAAATACTCATTGAGTAAATTGATTTAGGTCACTCATTGTATTCAAATCTTAGAAGAGGAGGGTCCAAAAAAAGTTTAAATACTGATGAGTCGGAGCCTGCGGTAATAATTTAATTACGACTTGGGATGGCAACATTTTTTCACATACAGGGGACGCTTGCTTTTTTATATAAATGGAGGGGTCCTGATTATTTCAGTAGAAAAGAATCTGCAGGGAATATATAATCAATGGCTGTGGGGTTCGATCAAATGTTAAAGTCATTATTTCTTCTCTTTTCTTTTGTTTTTTTTTAAAGCTAGCAATAATATGTTATTACAAAACTAAAAGAAAAGAAAATTAGTAGACAGCTGAATATAATGTTGTCCTTAAAGGGACAGAATGTCTAAAATATATATAATAATATATAATATTAATGTCTGAAGAAAATGATATCACACTTGGACTTTTTTCATGGGAATAGCTTTTTGAAACCTTTCATTTTCACCCCAATCATCATGAAGCCCAAACATTGAATTACTATAAAAACTGAGGATTCTGAGCCATTTAGTTTCCACGACTCATCATGGTTTATTAAAACCTGCCAATTACTTTTTCAAATTAAGCAGAAATCAATCATAGTAACAACACACATGAGCATGACACACCCACCCAAGATTCAATTTGTCTACTTTCGTACCCATGTCTCTTTTTATAATTATCTCGCGTGTTTTTCAAATGAAAGTTATGAACTTTCACATGAGAGACCTGAAACTGAAAGTGTTTGTTTTGTCCTTTGATCAATCGAAAGTATGTAAGACTAACAAGACACGTCCTTATTTACAAAAAGGATCACACAAAAGGACAAGCTTTTGCAACAGACCAGTCTCAGTCTGTCTGTCGTCTTAGTATCATTTATTTATTCATCTTTTGTTCCTTTTACGAACCGCTTGCTTGTAGCCTGCCAGCAACACTATTATAAGAACACAAAAGAAATTACCACTAATGAAGAGTTCTCAACTACACTCGTATCTCAAAGTCTCTCCAATATCATCACATTCATCATCTTCTTCTTCTTCATCTAGCATCGTTGTTGCTGATCATCAGAACCCTTCAAAGGCATCGGAGATGACAATTACTGATGGTGGCCGGCGTTTCGGCGACAGTCGACTGCCGGAGATGAAATGGAGATCGCCTGCCATTAGGCCTTATGTAAGGTCCAAAACGCCTCGGCTCCGGTGGACAACAGATCTTCACCGTTGCTTCTTGCTTGCAGTTCAACGGCTTGGGGGAGAAGAGAGTATATATAATATGATTTAAGCTTTTCTCAAATTCTGTCTGATGATGATGATGATGACAACGAACAGATTTAAATTTGATCAGTATATGTGTTGGATTCGCAGGAGCAACACCAAAGTTAGTGTTACAGCTGATGAATGTGAAGGGGCTTACCATTTCTCATGTCAAAAGCCACCTTCAGGTATGTTCTCTTGTCTCTGCAAGTAATTAATTAATCACAATTCACTGCCAAAAATTCATTCTTTAATTAAACCATTAATTTCCTTTGATCTGAAAATAGATTAATTTCTGTTAATTTTCGAACTCGGTGTATGGTTTAACGCTTTATATGTATATGCTTCTTCTATTAACAGATGTACAGGAGCATGAAGCATGAGCAGATGATTCACGGTAATTCTTGTTATTATTTATATTGTCTAAATTGGCTGTTAATACCAACAAAAAATAATTAATTAATTAATACGATAGGATTAAGTGTTTGGCCTTTAATTTGATGCCTCACCCCTCTAATGTCCGACCTTCTAATTGTTTTTTCTTGTTTCTTTTTAATTATCATTAGGTTCTAAATAATATAAGAGACATTTTTATATTTTATAATGAAGAAACGGTGTAATTTTGTATTACTTTTGTTCCAAATTATAAAATATACTTTTGTTACAAAAATAAGTAGAGTTAATATATGATTCAAGTGGATAAGGCTCAATTTGGACTCGATTTATTTGAATTGAATTTAAAATATTCAAACATATAAAAAAACTCACATAATCAAACATAATTCTAACTTTTTGGGCTTATTTGGACTAGTCCAAACATCTAAATTATTAAATATTATTTTTTTAATCAATGTCATTTTTTATCTTAAAAGATCAAGATTATCAATTTTTATCTAATTTTAATATTATTTACTAACTTTAAAAAATTTTAAGTATTTGGATTAAGCTCATTTGAGTTTGAGCTTATTCAAGGAAAGTAAAAGAAAATTTTTTAAACTCCCAAGCTTAGCCATAAGATTATTATGGATTGGCCCAAATCATTGGCTAATAAAGTTTTATTAATAATATTTTTTTAATATCATCATTCCTATATAATTTTATATTTTCTTTTGTTGAAAAGAGTTTTATATTTTTATTTTTAAAAAAATAAGATTGAAATGTATATTTAATGAACTTTATTATCGTGTGATTTTGTTAAAAAAATTTTTGTAAATTGAGAAAGGAAAGTATTTTTTATACTTTTTCAAAAAAGTAAAAAGACAAAACCATGCCGTTTCTTTACCATGAGATATAAAATTATCTTTTATTTCGCATATAATTCAACGATCAAAAGAAAAAAGTGAAAAGCAATTGGGATCGGGTTAAGACATTATTACAAGAGGCATTAGAGGCCCCATGCTCTTAATTATACATGCCATTAACCGCCAAAATTTCCTGAATAATTTAAAGCGATGTTCTAATTATTAGACTTCACTTTGATAATATCTATTATGATTCTGATAGTTTCAAGATAATGTGTGTATATATGCATATGATAACAATAATTTAGCAGCAGAAAATAAGAAGACGAAGAATGAAAAGTCGGGAGTGGGATTGCTACAAGATTCGTCCTTTGTTACCTCAAGAAGTTATGGGCATCAAGAGAATGAAGTACTTCAACAAGGAAACGAAAGATGTTCAAATCTTCACAATATGGCAAAGTTTAATCTTAATGGTATTCATGCGCAATGGTAAATCAACTCTTGCTTAAACGCCTTCTTAAATGATAATTAACCATCAATTAATGAAGAAAATGAGCTTTCTAATGGCTAGTTTCTTCTTCGTTGTTGTGTTAAAAATATATACGCAGGAATATCAGAAAGGAAGAATATGAAGAGAAAGATGGAAGGCAGGATTGTAATGCAGAAGCAATTTATGGTGACAGAGAGCAGCAGACACGTTCCTATATCATCTTCAATGACCTTTTCAGAAGCAACACTCACCCTGTAAAAATATTGCCCTCTCTCTCTCTCTCTCTCTCTCAATTCTTTGCACTTTTTCATTGCATATATATAACTAATTGTGAGACAATCACAGATCTTAAAATATTAAATTAGTAATAATTAAGTCCTGATAATTTTTTAAAGGAAATACATTATAAATATAAATTTAGATAGTTACAACATTTTAAATACAATACGAGATTAATATTTAAAATTTAAAATCAATATGTTGAATTCATTTATCAAAAAAATTGATCAGGATCCTAAATGTCATTATTTGAATATTTTAAAATATAATTTTCATTCTCCCTAATTAATTTTTTTAAAAAATCAGATTAATGGGATCTTGAGCTTTATAGTATAATGTATAAATTTCCTTTAATTTGACATCCTTATAAGTAATTGAAGTATATGAAGAAGTTAAAAAAAAAAAAAAGTCTTACATTGGATGGAATTAATTGATTAAGAAGAGTTACATAAGTAGAATAATCCATAAATTGACTACTTTAACCTTTTGGGTTAAAAGTTAGAATATATATGATCTATCAAACACACTTAAATGCATGATATTTAACTGGTGGTGACTTGGAATTCAAAAGAATAATATTAGTTATCCATTTGTGGATTTTCAGGAGAGAAATGAGAAGAAAGCAGAAAGTGAAGGAGGTGGTGGTAATGATCAAAGATTGGAAGAGGAAGATTCGAGTGAGATAGGAGAGAGAGTGGATGTTGATGAAGACGACAAAGTGTCTCTGTCAATGACCTCTAAAGCTTTTCTGCTTCAGCCATGGCCGAACCAGCTCACCCTGCTTGGTAGTCTTCACGTAAATGATGTCTCTCTTGACCTCACACTCTCCTCCTTCAACACTAATCACTCTTCATTTGCTTCCTCAAACAATAACACTACCAACTCCTAATTCATTATTCTATATTTAATATCACTGCCTTGTATCTAATTACTTCATTATTACTTCATTATTATTATATCCCCGCCTTCATTTTCATAATTAACTTGTATGATTGCTGCCCTCTAATATGCTTTCTCGTCTAATTAGTTTGTTCTCTATGTGTGGCTTCTTTCTTTATTTCTCCAAATCTTACCCAGAAAAACTGTAATTTTGATCCTTAATCAATGTCTCGAATTTTATTGTCATTGTTTATTTTACTAACTTTTAATTTTCTCTCTCCTCCTTATCTTATAGTTTTTCTTTTCATCCTTGTTTCCATTTAATTGTATTTTAGTTTTTTTAAAATTTTTTATTATTATAAGTTTTTATTTTTCGTCTATTAATTTTGTTTAGCTCAACTTTATATATATATATATATATATATATAACCTAAGCTTTACTATACATTCTCCAATATTCCCTTTAGACGTTGGTCCCATTTGTTAATTACATTCTAAAACATCACCTTAGTCCTAAGGTAAGTCATTCTCCCTTATTTAAGCAATCTTTGATGCACAATTTTGAGATTAATTACCCCTGCAAATATAAAAGAGAAAATCACTACAAACTACAAGGTCTCATATAGAGGTTCTAATTACCACAAGATCACATGAAATGTATAAACTACTCTTAAATCTTGAATCTTTTATTTGTGCATAAATTTTATGTATCATCACTAAAATACCCTTATTTTTTTTTTTAAAAAAAAACTTAACACAGCTACCGCCGGTCATTGGAGCTTTGGCCGGTTGGCACCATTGGTCACCTGAGACTATGGCGGGGCAAAGCATCGGCATGTGTCATGTTTCTTTTTTTAAAAAATAGAATAAGAGTATTTTAAAAATTATACATAATATTTATTTACAAATAAATTAAAGAGTTTGAAACTTGAGAGTAATTTATACATTTTAAAACCTTGTGATAATTAGAACTTTTATATATAAAAAAAAACTTTGTAGTGATTTTCTCAATGTAAAAAGAAATACAATATTTTGATTTTTAAAAAATTCTTTCCATGTCCTAAATTACTCTTATTTAAGTTTAGGGATATAAACGAAAAGTAATTTAATTTTTAAACAATTTTATTAATTTAACTAACTTGTTTTAATTTATGAGCTGATTTAAAATAACTTGTATATAAGATGATAAAGAGTACTATAAGTATAACTTCACTTTGGCCCCTAGCTAGCCATAAATTTGTGAGACACATCCATGGCAACACATACACACACTGCATACATTTGATCGAGATTTAACACAAACAATTGAAGGGACATGGCCTTAAAAAAACAATTCAAGGAAACGTATCACGACAACGTTGGTTAATCAAGGATTGAGTTTGGGTATGATGATTTATTTTATATTTTTAATAATTTTTATTTTCATATTGTAGAATTTCAAATAAGGATAAATTTTTAAATGATCACTTTATAAAAAAAGTAGCTATTACTTAAAAATTATATATTAAAAAATAAATATATATGGGCTATTCAAATCTAATTTAGACCTAATACTATCATATCCACCCGAACAAACCTGTTATATAAAAGTTATATTTTTTTGGCAGACTAAATTATAGTATATAGATCAGACGTTGGTGCATTTAATCCGGTAATAATCCTTCGATCTTCAGTGAGGGCCTCCTTTTTGTTTTTTTGGGCCAATCTTCAGCAAGGGCTTTTAATCACTAGAGCCTCTAGAAAGAATAGAGAGTAAAAATAAGAGCCTCGCTTATCAGGGTATCCATTTAAATTTTTTGAGATGTTGGGTTTAAAAAATTAGGAACTGCTAAACCCGATCCCTTAATCACTAAAAAAAAAAAAGGGAGTCCTCGGGTTCAAGTTACTTTAACTTGCATATAATTATTTTACCCTTTAGAATGAGACTTTTTTAAATTTTAAAACTAAATTTAAACTTTAAAATGTGTGTTTATGCTTTAAAATTAGAATTTATATTCTTTATTTTTAAAGTTTAACATTGTAATTTTTTTAGAAAATGAAAATGTAATATTATAAAGTAAAAAAATTAAATTTAATTTGAAATTTTAGAAAATGAATATTAGAATTTGTATTTTAAAACAACATGCCAGCAAAAAAGCAGAGAGAGAGAGAGAGAGAGAGAGGTGAGGGGAAGAAAGGAAATTTTATATATTTCTCTACGAATTTTTAAGTCACTAATTTAGTAATTTTAATTCTTTTTTGTTGTTGTAGAGATGTGGACACGCACAGACTAAATATATCAAGTATTTAATGTTGATTCGGCATATCGGTTAATTATGCATAATTTGGCGTCGATTAATCAAACAAAGAAAATGAAATAAATCTCTCTGAAAATATTTGCAAATTTTAAAATGTCTTAAGATTTGAAGACTAATATTTAGTTCAATCAACAGTACACTAATATTAATTATTGAGATATCCTATACCGCGAGAGAGAGAGAGAGAGAGAGAGAGAGAGAAGCATTGATGACTGTATTCCACTTTAGGGATTATTATAAACGCTTGTGGTTTGTTGACTTACATCGGGAAAATAATTTTACAAAATTGTAATATATCAGTAGCAAAGTGGGGGTAGTTGAGTGAGCATGCATAGATATATTTATACACCTTTTTTTTGGCCAAACAGATTTATTTATATATCTACAGCAAGTGAAAGAGAGGATTTAATAAAGAATAATAAAATCTCGTAAGGGGATTACCACAATAAGAAATATCTTGGCAGGAGATTTTTGACCACCAACAATTGATCTGTTCCTTAAAAAAGGCACTGTCTTTGTCTCGTTAGAACTTGTATTAATTATTATTTTCCATTAAAGATCGCCTTAATAATATACCCTGCTTTTTGTGACATCTCCCTTACGTGGCAAACATTGATTAGAAGCTGCAATCATGAATTATACTCGCATTAACAATAGAATGACCTGAGAATGACAATTGGTTTTTAAAACATTAAATTCATGATAATTATGTTTTCATTAAGAAATTTTAATAAATAAGTTATAAATATCAATTCATACAATTATAAATATGAATCTAATTACAATATGATAGTTACATTTAAATTTTAGATTCTTGATCTGTAATTGAAACTTTTAAATTTATTTCATTTGAATCAATATTTTTATCTATTAAAAAAGATATCAAAATCTAACTGTTAATAATTTGATATTTTGAAACCTAACTTATTTTCTCTATTAATGAATGGCTTATTAGTAGTTTCATCAAAATCTAATGATCATATGTTTATTGTTTTGTGTAAGCTTCAAATTAAAACAAAAGTTTGTGTAATTTCTGACAAAACTACATGGGAATATTAATTATATATAGCATAATTTGATCATGTAATTACAATGATGATTGACTTTGATAGGCGTTTACTTTCAGCAAGAATCAACTAATAGAAAATTTGCAAAGATATCATGAAAGTAAACCCACTAAATTATATGCTTCAAACTAAGTGAAGGGTTTAATGCTTAATTAATGTATATATGGATGATTAATAAAGCTGCAGGTAATTATCATGCTTTGGTGAACGAGGAAATGCAATGTGATTCGCTAATTGAGAGAATAACAGATATGATATTATATAATGAAAAGATCTAAAAAGTGCTAATAATGGTTAGAGTGGTCCTCCAAGGATCCGATAAACCAGCGAGCCAAGCTGTACCGAACTTATTTTACACACACACACACACACACACAAGTGAATGATGAAACTTTTAGGAGGAGGAGGAGGAGGAGGGAAGAGATATTTGCTTATACTTTAATTTGCTACACGAACACTTCAAGTGTCTTAGCCTTCACCAAAACAAACAATTTAACAAACTCAACAGTACAACTAATATCTAAGTGCCCGAAACACTATTATTTCTCACATGGCTTCCACATGGATGGCTGTTCTCGAATATAATCCACTTTTCGTTTTATACATAGTGGTCAATATAGCATCAAAACCAAAAAAAAAAATGTATCGTCCTTTTTTGCTTAAAAAAATTTAAATCTAATTAAATGTCCCTTTTTTCAATTATTTACAAATATTTCATGTTTTTTCAATATTCCTGTAATTTTCTGTCTTATATCTTAGCTGATGAACATGATAAATTAAAGGAAAAATGACAATAAAATTCTCTTAAATTATGTAAATGACATTTTGATACTTCAAAATGTCATAATTCTCCTGAAATTCTTAAAAACTTTTCTGTCATTGAGGAATTAATGTAAATGACTAAATTGTTATTGATTTCTTATGATTTAAAAAAATTATAAATCTTAGAATAAATTTGTGAATGATAATTGATATTTACAACACTTTAGGATTATTAAGATTCCAAATGCGAACTTGTGAATTGTAACATCTCAATATAAATTTTAATAGTTAGTTTGGGTTAATAGAAAATTAAAAAAAATAATAATAATAAAAAATAAAAATAATAATAATAAAATAATATTATTAAATTATTATTATAATAAAAAAAAGGTGTAAAAACAAGAAAGAAAGGAAGAAGAAGAAGAAAACGAATTTGCTTCGTCCGCCGCCTCAACAGTAACAGTAATAAATAATAATAATAAAAAAAAAGAAGAAGAAGAAGAGAGAGAAAATAATTAAAAAAAATGTGGGACCCACTAAATTTTTATAAAAACTCACATGTTCCTTCATTTCTTCATTCCTTCTTTCGTGCGTGAGCTTCGGCAGAGAGAGCATCTGTGAGCCAAATTCACCGGTGCAGGGTTTTAAGGTAAGAGTTTTTAATAGGATATTTAGGATGTGATTTTAAGCTTTTCAAGACTAAGTAAGTGTTCTAAAATTTTTTCTTAGTCATCCTTTTTCTTTTGTTTCTGAGTTTGTAGTGGTAGAAAATTTAAGATCTGGAAGAGGGATGAATTTATGTTGAATAAATATGGTTTTTGAGGTTGTTATTAGTATAATAAATATTCTAGAGTATAAATTTATTGGTGATCTTTGAATTTGTGGCTTATGGATCAAATTCTAGACTAGATCTGAAAATATATGTTGATTTATTGAGGTTTAGATGATTATTTGGGATGAGAAATGAATTATTATGGCTATAGGATTATGATTCTAAGCTAGAGACTTAATTTTTAATTTTGAGTATTTTAGGTACGAATTTATGAAATAAAAAGAAAATTTTGATAATAGAAATTAGTTTAGAAGTTGATTTTTAGATTATTAATGTTTATTGATAATTAAAAGAGGAGTTAAAAATTATACTTAATAGTATTAACTATAGATTTGTATTAAGATTGAGATTAGGAATTATGTTATATTTTTAATTCTATTATTAGAATTATTTTATTAGTTTCAAAAATTGAAACTAATATTTATAAATAATATGTTATTTGTAGATTGTATTACTGGTGAAGATTGTGGTGAGAGAAAAATTTTAAGGAATAATTTATTGAAAAAGCCACAAGGTAACCATGCTTTTAATTTATGATTAGTGTTACTTCATGTTAATTGGGTGATTATTGAGAAAATTATAAATTTTGTAATATTATATAATTGTGTAATATTATTATGAATTTGTTTAATTATTGTGGGAGGTGTTGGGAGACTTGCTATTATTGTTGTATTTATGTGCCACGTGGTACGCCCCTATTGGAGCTCAATAGGTGGCTTGTAAGGGCTCGGGCTAATCTACCTTTGGCCGGATAATTTAGCACCAAGTGAGGGCTACGGCTCGAGGTTAATGGAGGGATATAAGGATGGTTGTTTGTGTGTATTGTAATATTTCTTATATTTGTTGGAATTATATTATTTTTAATTCTCACTTAGTAAGCACACACTTAACTGTTTGTATACACTATCATAAATTGGCTTTGGTTACTGGGACTTTTGAGTCTCATTATGTGGTTAACAATTTTCAGGAGAAGAGCCACGAGTGACACGTGGAGGAGTCCCAGAGACTTAGTGGTATAGATCCACTGTCTCTTTTGGGTATTTAATTTATGATTTATAATGTGTTATATTGCCAATATTAGGGCTTTTTGTTTATTGTCAATTATATGAATATATAAATGTAATCATGCCTTTCAAACTATTTCTATTTTTGGTACAATTTGGATGACTGAAATTTTAATATTTGGTTTACTTTGGATTGGTTAAAATGGCATGATTATAAGGTCAAATAACTGGCTTGTGTTGAAAATTTATTAAATTGCTTATTTTACTTGTGGGAGTATAAGGATGGACAAATGTGATTTAGTTTACTTGTTGGGAGTATAAGGATGGACAAATGTGATTTAGCCTAATGGCATGTGGGAGGTAAAAATTTATCTGAAATGTTAATTATAAAATATTTTATATTGAAATTATTGATATAAAAATGTGTTGGGTGGCTGTAACCCAACTATGGTTGAGTTAAATTATTTAAAAAAAAAATTTTGGTGTGTTACATGAATTATTATTAAATTTTTGTGATTTAAAAAAAAAGTTATAATCTTAGGATAAAATTTGTGAATAACAATTGATATTTGAATTAAAAAAAATTTAATTATTTATATTAATTCCTTAATGATAGCAAAGTCCCTAAAGATTTCAGGAGAATTATGGCATTTTAAAAGATCAAAATGTTATTTATATAATTTAAAGAGATTTTATTGTCATTTTTTCTAAATTAAATATTGATTTGTCAAATTAATTTTTGGGTTAGTGGGAACATACTATAAAAAATAAAACTGAAGTGAACATCACATGTATCATTTCCTTTACACTATTCACAAGTATAAATTATACATGCTCGCGAATTGCTACGCATATTTCGATATGATAGAGTCACCTACTCCACTACATCTAATTATACCATGTTTTCTAGCTCCATAGGTAGAGTTTTATTAATATATATGCAACATCACTACAATGATTTAGGGTAATTTGATTATATATCAGAAGCATCGATTTGTCTTACAATTGTTTAATATTTTCAGTCGGCTATGGTTGACCAAAGGAGACAGTAATTGGACATTTCTTGACTTATATGTCTTGCACGTAGAATCTAATTTCGCCCATAATGCTTCCCTGTGAAATGCAGTGATATAACATTATTGTGCCAATATTATTTTAATGGACATGGCTCTCTATATATAGGGCCAAGTAGAGGGGTCATTAATCATCACAAACACGAAGTTCTTCGAGTTTCATATAAGTTAAGAGAGAAAGATCATGGGTGCTATTACTACTGCTGGTAAGCTGATATTCGTGGCTTTCCTTACGTGGAGTACATTCTTGTGTGCTTTGAGTGGCGTTGTTCAAGGGAAGGACGTGGATATCAATGACAGTGGCTATGTTGATCCAAGCCGATGGAGGTTTGGAGGTGACGATAATGGTGATTATTGTTCTTATAGAAGTTGGAGGGGGTGTGGGAGTTTCTTCGGGAGAGGTGGGAGAGATAATGTAGGTGGTGGGGAGTGGCGGTGGCGGCAATGGAGTTACCGGGGGCTCTGGACGTGGTGAGGGATATGGTGCAGGTGGAGGCAGCAATGGAAGTGGAGGAGGGGGCGGCGGCGGTGGAGGAGGAGGAGGAGGAGGAGGAAGTGGTGGGTCCGGCCATGGAGAAGGATTCGGAGCAGGAGGTGGAGTAGGTGAAAATGGAGGTGGTGGTGGTGGAGAAGGTGGTGGAAGTGGTATAGAAGGAGGGTCCGGTCGTGGTAGTGGATTTGGAGCAGGTGCAGGATTTTGGGGGAGCTAGTGGTGCAGGTGGCGGCGGCGGTGGAGGAGGGGGGGGAGAGGGAGGAAGCAATGTTGGAAGTGGTGAAGGCTCAGGTCATGGAAGTGGTTTTGGAGAAGGAGCTGGCATGGGAATTGCAGGAGGAGGGGGACGAGGTGGAGGCGGCGGCGGCGGCGGGGGCAGAGGCCATGGCGGAGGATATGGTGAAGGTAGTGGAGTCGGTGCAGGTTTGGGCGTGAGCAACAATATTGGTGGAGTAGGAGGAAGTAGTGGAGGAGGTGGAGGTGGAGGTGGAAGCGGCTCTAGTAGAGGAGAAGGTCATGGGAATGGATTGGAGCGGGTGGGGGTATAGGGAGCATGGGAGGGGGAGGGTGGTGGAGGAGGTGGCGGAGGAGGAGAAAGCAATGGTGGAGGGTATGGTCATGGAAGTGGCTTTGGTATGGGAATGGGCGACATGGGAGGAGGAGGTGGCGGCGGCGGAGGTGGAGGAGGAGGGAGTGGATATGGAGAAGGATATGGTGGAGGGGAAGGAGGAGGCTATGGAGGAGGGAATACGAATAACAATGGAAATGGCAAGGGAATGGGAATGGGATTTGGAATGGGAATGGAATGGGATTCGGATTTGGAGTAGGGGCAACCAATGGAGCAGCTGGAAATACTGCCATGAGTGTCCATTCTCACCAACCCTAGCTCTTACGATCTCCCTCCCTTCATAAAATATATCATACCAAAACTCCATAATTTGTTTGATGTCTCTAGTGTTCATGACATGTGATCTACTGTTTTACCTAGAGATGAATCCTAGTTCATGATTCTCGTGCAAAATAATAAATTACCATTTCTTTTTCTTTTTTATCTTCCCTATTCAAATGATTTGATTGTCTCCGCTCTCCACCATTATATATACAGTTTTATTTTATTTATAAGTGATTATCATGTTTATTAAAATTAAGATAAATTTTAAATTTCATTAACTCTGTCTAAAAATTTAACAAATTTTTAATTTTATTTTATTAAATATATATATATATATATTAAAAGTAAAATAATCTAACATTTAATATCCTTCTTAACATTTAATAAGGGCATAAAAGGATTAAAATAAAAAATAATAATAATTGATATGTCATATAAATATTATCTCTTTATCTTATAAATAGAATTATAAGCATTGTATGAAAAACCAAAGTCAAACTGACTAAGTCAATTTAAAAACCGATGAACCGGCCTCTTTACCAATTCAGTTTTTCTCCTAACCCAATTAGCCTATGACACGATATAACCTAATTAACTCGGGATCAATCTAGTATAAATTGAATAACTTGTCGAGTTAGTTGGGTTAACCAGGTAATTTACTTTTGCCTTCAATTTTTTTTTAAAAAATAAAACAATAAAAAATAGTGTTGGCTCAGCTGAAATTTCAGAAGCTTCAAAACAACGCCAAGAAAAACCAGAAAAATGAATAAAAAGAAGCGTGATGAAGAAGAAGAAAGATGGTGGCGAAGGATATAATGTTGCTTCGTGCTAGATATGCTTTGAAACGAGATGGCAACCCAAATGAAGAGCAGTACACCACCGGAGAGACTGAGTAGATCTGGAACAAAGAGAGGCGATTTGGAATGCGTAGATTGGGAACACCAAAAAACTAGGCAGATTTGGAACACCGAAGAGCATAACGCAGATTTGGAACGCCAAACAACTAAGCTGTCATCAAAAAATGATAAAGCAAAATAGAGAAGTGAAGCTCTGCCTGAAAAAGAGAGATAGGATAGAAGAAAATACTGGTTATATTTCATTACTTTTTATTTAAAATAAATGATAGTAAACATGTCATTCTTGCTGACACCTTTGGCTTTTCTCAAAGTTGATTACTGCTACGCGTTTTCTTTCTCAAGTTGTCCAGCCATTTTTTTTTAATACAAGGCCACGGATGAACCATACAAAGGATGACTTAAGTCAAATCAAAACCCATGAGCCGATGATACCTTGAAGGTGGAACGTCATAAAATAAAGTGTCTGCATTTTCTATCGTAGCTTGTTGAGCAAGTCAATCCGCACATTTATTACATTCTCTAAACACATGGTTGAAGGTGACAGCCCAATCCTTCATGATGAGATATCTGATCTTCTTAATGATATCGCCAAGAGGATGATTCGAATCATGATCCTTCTGAACAAGTGTCAGGGCTTCTAAAGAATCAGTGTATACATTAACTTGCTTGAAGTTATTCTCCCAACAAAGCTTTAATCCCTCAAAAATACCCAAGAGCTCAGCTGCAGTGGTAGAATGATAGCCTAGACTTTTAGTAAAGCCTTTAATCCAGTTCCCTAAATCATCACGAATGAAGCCACCACAAGAAGCATCTCCATTGGTAAGAATAGAACCATCAATATCCAATCTGATCCAGCTAGGTTTTGGTGGAATCCATCTAGTAAAAGATTTGTCTTGATTCATCTGCATAATTCCAAGTTGAGATTGAAAGTAGAGGTCATTGATTATGTCCTGTGTGCAAGTGAAAATGATGTATTTCTCAATGTGTGATGATCTTTCGAGTAGAAGATTGCAATGCTCTTTTCAAATGTTCCAACAAATATGGGCAAAAAAATTCTTCCAAAGGGATTCTTCTGATATTAGCATTACCAACATTGTTTTTCACATTCTAGAGAATCCAATCCTAAAAGGGAAGAGAAAGGAAAGTATTAAGCTTAGTAGAATGTGTTTACAAGTTTCATCCATACTTTCCTAGATTAGTGCAATCACGCAGAATGTGGATAGAGTTATCAAGAGAATTGTAGCCAAAGGG